CCCCTCCCCCCCGGTGTCACCCTCCCACAACAGGTTTTCCTGCTACAGCGAAATTTGAGGCCAGGTCAGGGCGAGGCTGCAGCGCCATTTCAGAGGCTCTGCTGGGCCCACCGTACACCAAGCGGGAGGAGAGTCCTCGGCTCCGGCCCCGGCCCTCCTGGGTTTTGCAGGGCGGACACGCTCTCGCGCCCAAAGTCACTGCTGCCACCAATCCGCCCGTGCGGGCAGCTGCATTTGAGAACCTCCCCAAAGTGGGTGGGGGTGTGGGGGGGGGAACAAAACCAAACCAAAACCAAACCGAAACCCCAACTCTTCCAAGGGCAGCTAGGTCAATGCTATCCAAAACCAGAAGGAAACCCACAGCTCCAATGAAGCAGCCCTGGAAGGGGCAGAAGGACAAAGGTAGCCCGTACAAAACCACCACCCGAAAGGCCAGAGAGAGCCGCGAGGGCTCTGTCCCTTTGGGGTAACTGTGTATTAGCAACATCCACTGAGGAGCATCTCGTGACATTAGAAGGGAACTGCCCCAAAAAGAGAGGCCGTGGGTCCGAAGGAAGCGGTGCAAGCAGTCGCAGGGGGGCTTAAGTGAAGGAACCCAAGGGAGCACAGCAAAGCTCGTGACCCCGGTGGCCCCGAGGCCTGGACACGCGGGGAGTCAGGCGAGTGGGCAGACACGGCCTCGGCCAAGAGGCACCACCCACGCTCGGGCGCTTCTGCCTCCCCCCGGGCTGGGAGAGGGAAGGGCCGAGCCTCGGTGCTTTGGGGTTCTGCAAGGGCTGAACTGGGCACCGCAACGGAGGGGTTCTGCTCCCAGGGTGACCCAAACCACTGCCTGCCCAGAAGGGCTCAAGTAAGAGCAAGCCACAAGTACTTTGCTTGGAGAATTTCACTACAAGTACACAAAACCCAGTAGAGGAAGGCAGTGCAGCTGCAAAGGGGGGAGCAGCAGGCCTTGGCTCTTAGAGGCGCTGCTGCTCTCGCAGCGGGAAACGGGAGTTTCCATTAGAAAAAGCTTCCAAGACGAAAAGCCAGGCAGAAGCTCAGGGTTTGGCAGAGTTTGGCTCCTTCCAGCACGGCCCAGCTTCGGGTCAAAGCCACAAGCCAACTGCCTTTCTTTGCAGCAGTGAGTGGCACAGCAGAAGGGGCTTCTACTGCAGCACGTCCAGCCCTCGGCCACTCCCTGCACGGGGGCTTTCTCCGGGGATGGCCTGGCCAGCGGCGCAGAGCAGCAAGTGAGCAGGCACAGCTTGCATCCAAGAGCCTCTGAACCGCCGTACTGTAGATTACGGGCGCACACACAAGCAAACAATCAGCCAGCTGGCAGTCTGGCGGCACCAAGCGATCCTGCCAGGTGTCCGAGTGCCCAGCTCGCCCCGGGGACCCCTCACTGCATCGCATCTGCCTCCACCCGACGCTTTCGGGGCAGTCAGTTTTGGCTTGGCCAGTCTCTAGGACCTACTGAGAAGATGGGATCCCTAGCAGCTAAGTGTACGAGTGAGCTCCTGCTTCCTCCTCCTCCTCCAGGTCTGAAGGGGCCACTTGAGTTGCCCACAGGATTTAGCAGGAATTTTGGAACTGCAATCCCCAGCACAGTTACACACAAAGGAAGAGCCGGTCCGTGATTTAATTCACATTCGATGGTGGAAATGAGCCTGTGACACACACTGGAAGCAGTCGCTTTACTCCCAGTCTTCCCACTCTTCATCTTCCAGCTGCAAAGAAGAGTTAACATCCCTCAGTTTGTTTCTGTAACTCAACAGCCACCTGTCAACAGATCCTCCTGCCCAGGGCACCTGAGTCAGCGCAAAGCCTGACATACCCTCACGCTCCCACACCCTCACAACAGGGATTTGCTTCCTCTGTTCCCCTCGGGGAACTTGCACGCTCATCCCTCTTCAAGCACGTCCAAGCGGCCACCCGCTTGCTCCAGCTAACACCCGTGACTCCCATGGTGAGATCCCAAGCTAAGCCCGTGTCCCCAAAGAGCAAGTCACGCCTTCGAGAAGCCTCCCGCGAGCTGCTCTGGGCGGGCAGCTGCCTGCTGCGGCGCTGCCCCTCCAGGCCAGCAGCAGCCACGTCTCGCTGAAACTTGCTGCAGAGCCTTGGCTCCAGCACAGGGGCTGGAAGCGGAGCTCAAGCCGAGGGATTCGCCCTCTTGCTCTGAGGCACTGCAGTCTCTCTCCACCTCCCAGGGGAAGCGCCCAACGGCGGCAGCGCTCACGCAGCATCACCCCAAGGAGTTGCTGATGGTTTCTGGGAGCAATCTTCTTGCCTATTTGAGCGAGCACCTCCCCGCGACTCACCTCCCCGGACACTTCCACCTTCGAGAGCGCCAGCTGCACCTCCTCTTCAGTCATGTCCAGATCAAAGTCCTTTTCCCAGTCCTCGCTGGTATCAGTGCTGGAGCCTGTAACCACAAACATCACGACCGAGCCGTCAGAGCTGCACGTGCTCTCCAGACGCTCTGGCCAAAGCACACAGCTGCCCAAGCAGCTGCCCACAAAGCCCTGGCATTCACGAGGCTCGGATCTACCACAGCCTGCCCGAGGAGAGAAAGCCTCCCTCATTCCCAAGAGCAGGCTGTCAGCTCGCTAACAGAGACGGGATGGACTGAACCACCCTTCCCTCGCAGCAAGGGCTTGTTCAGAACAAGTGGGAGAGGTGAATGCTGAAACACGTTCTCCTCTGGCCTGGGAGAACTAGGATGTGTCACGCTTCAGTCACACAGGAAACACAACAGATAAGGAATGACAGGAGCGACTTGGATACGGCGGCTGCCACACTCCCGAACAGAATGAACCACCTCCTGGGGCAGAGGAGCAGCAGGGACATTCCTAGGGGCAACACGCAGAGGGAAGGAAACACCACATTCCCTACAGAGACCACAGCCGTGCCCTGGCACCCAGCAGGCCAGGGACCAAACGTCTCCCCTGTTCAGCCGACAGACTTTTGATCTCGTCTAATTTCGTTCTGCCCACAGACCCGGTTCATGATACTTGGTCACCCTGCTGGAGCTTTGGTTGCTTCCAGTGGCTTTATAATCCTATAACCAACATAACCATTACGCTGGGACACCTGCAGCAGGCTCTGCTGAAGGCAGAATCCCCTGCAATGAAAGGTTTGTAAGTAGTGTCAGCCAGAGCTGCGACACACCCCTCCTCAGGGTCCTGGAGGAGCGTCACCCTCCGTTCTCCTGAGGGGGCACCAGGAACGGAGCTCAGGAGAGGGCTCCGGCCAGAGCCAGCGGCAGCCCCGGCCCAGCCGCCTGCTGAGGGCAGATGGTCACCGCCTGATGCGACCCTCTTGACCCTGCCCAATAGCATAAAGATTTGCTTCCACTTTAGTTCGGCCATCAGACAGCCTTTGGATCTAACCTTCCTGGGTGATTTTGGCAAAACCCCTTTTCTCCTCCTCCTCCATCACAAAATCAGGCCCTTTCCCCAAAAGCTGCCACCCCCAGCAGAAGGTTTCCGGGCCCTGTGCTGGCCCCCCACACGCACCTTTCTTGCCGTTGTTGGAAGGAGTGGATTTCCCACTATCCGAGTTCAGCTCAAAGACTCGTAGATCTGTCGGTCCTTCCTCTTTCAGAGTCTCTGTCCTGCCCTGGGCTTTGCTCTCCACCTCTTTGAGCTCCGTAACAGCCGGTTGCTCTGAGGATGCTGTTGACTCCCGGGCAGGTGCAGAAGGATGACCGGCTTCTGGGGGCTTTGACAAGGAGCTCTGCTTTTCCGAGGTGGCCTCCAGCAGCCTCTGAGAGAGGTCTCCGGTCCCAGCTGGTTGTGCTCCAGTCTGTAGCTGCGCAGCAGGCACAGAGGCAGGGTTTGCAATCTGAGTCACAAGGGAGATGCTCTCACTGCTCTCAGAGGGGCTCCCCTCTGCTGGGGCCGGCTCCGGAGGGAGGACGGCCCAGCTTTCCTCTGAGGGTCCCTTGTGAGCAGTGGGGTGGCTTCCCTCCAGGGCTGCAGGGGCAGATTCTTTCTCTGCTGCTTCTGGAAATTTCACGTTTGCACAAGGCAGGGGTGACATCCCCAAGAACTCCTCTGTAGGAAGGCAGAAGAGAAGGCAGAAGAGAAGCGAGAGATGTTTCAGCAAGCGCAGCAGCAGCTGACAGTGCAGCAGGGTTGGCTGCAGCTGGGCTGGGAGCTGAATTTGTGGGAGTGAGGAGGAGCCACCACCCTCTCTAACCGAGACCCGCCAAGGTCTGCACGAGCCCTCCCGCAGATCCCCAACCATCTGACCCACCTTCATCCTCCTCCCAGCCTGGCTCCTCTTGGTGAATGCTCTGCTCCGCTCGCTGCTTCAGAGCCTCCCTCCGGGCTTCATCCTGCAGGGAATTCAGTGTCAGCAGCGACTCACGTCCCCAGTCCTTTCTTCCCCCAGGTATTTCAGCATCAGTGACAACAAGGACCGAGACAAGGCAGACCAGATCCCTGTTTTTCCAGGAAAAGTGTCTTCTGCCTCTTTGGTCTGCATCAGAGAGCTCCTTGGCTGGAGTGCCCACCCACTGGGGGAGACGCCCCCCCTCCTGACCTACCTGCTCCAGGCGATGCACTTTATAGAAGTAGCGCTGCCAGAATTCAGAATGGGAAACAGCCACCGGGACCTGGGAGCGAGATGGGAACCACCGTGAGTCACTTCAAAGGGAGGACTGCGGCTGCTGCCTTGCCCCCCTCTCCTCCCGAGCCTTGCAGCCACCCTTATAACCTGCGCAAGGCACCTGCGTTTTCAGGTGCACAGACTCGGGACCAAGCCTCAGGTACGCACTGGCAGATGCTCAGACACACATCAGACAGCTACAGAGGAACTTCTCTTCCGGGCCCATGACAAACAAGCAGGGAAGAAGAATACAATATGCTGCCTAATATCCCTGTGCCACTTTACCGTGCAACCACAGTCCTTTTCACGACCAACTCCAGGGCCCAAGCAACTCAGGGCTTCCCTGCACCGTACCCCAGGTCAGAACTTGCCCACTACAGGAGCCAGGCGGGGCCTTACCATTTTGGTGTAGAGAGACCGGATGGAAGGGCTGGTTGCCAGCAGCTCCGCGATCTCCCCTTTCTTCTCCTCTAGGTTAAACTGAGAGAGCCAGGCCTCAAGGAGGTCAGCAGGGCCTGTACAGGGCAAGCACAGAGATAACAGTCCTTGGCACAAACAGGGCAGGAACAGTTTTGGGAAGTTTCACTGGAAAAATACTACGGAGCAGACCAGCTGGGGTGAGCAAAGGGGCAAAGAAGGAGGGAGACGTGTGTCTCTGAGCCCACCCCATGTCGTGGGTCCTTTGTCAGCACAAGGCGACATAGCGCCAGCCGTAGCAGCAGTTTAAACTGACGCGGCAAACTCTCAAGCCTAAGCTAGTTCCCAATGCAACAGACAGATCTGCTCTCCATAAACGGTGACCCCATCTACAGCCAAGCCAGCAGGCCCGCTGGCGAAAGGCCCTGGGCAATCCAGGACGGCCCACAGCCCCCACGCAAGGGCCAGCTTGGCTCGGCAGCACCGCCGAGCCCCCCCCTGCCATCAGGTTCGTTGCA